TATAGGATGAAGAAGATGAAGTAGGAGGTGCTTGATCAACAACCTGACTCGTTGATCCCTCAGACTTTTCCTTATCTTTTCTTTGTCTAGAGTTACCAACAGAAGTACACTGTTTCACTGGGGTGTCATCGTCTTCTTTCTCAGTGACATTACCAGAAGTGTAATGTTTTTCCTGACTCTCATGACTTCTAGTCCCAGAAACATTATCACTACAGCCAAACCATTTTCTCCAAATCCTCTTAAAATAACCCACCTCAGATGCAGAATCTTGCGCAACCGCCGGAGGAAAATGAGGCTTAGTATCTAAATTTTTAGCCACTTCGACAAACTTCTCATCAATGGGCACTGAAGCCTTCACATTATCAGGGGAAGGAGCGGACAGTGACTTCTCATCAAGCGGAGAAAGATGTGGTTTCGATGAAGACTTCACATTCTCAGGGGAAGGAGCCAATATTGACTTCCCATCCGACTTAGGTGAAAAGGGCTGTTGCAATTCTATAGGGTCTTCCACATTTGGTTCATGGGATGTAGGTGATGACAACTTTCTATTTGTACTTATATTAATAGACTTGCCCTCATAATCTAACTGTGAAGCTAAACTGAGATCCCAGCCTCCATTATCACCACTGGACTCTGTAGACATACCTACATTGGACTGACATGGTTCAGATGATTTTGTGCTTCCACCATGTACAAGAAAGTTTCCATCACCTACTGATTGGAGCTTTAAAATATGTGGAATTGATAAAAGAAAGCGGGAAAATTTTTTATACCCATAGAAGTCTCTACCTAAACTAATATTACATTTTCCAAGCTCCATGCGAAGGTCTGTAATGGAGATTCCTTTAGGATGTGAGTTCAATATCTGACAAATTTGGTTCATGACCATATTTGGAATTGGACGAGGCTTAGACTCTAAACCAGGTTCAGACAACTTCTCAGTCTGTGAACGTGGCTGCGCAATGACTGCGTACGGGTCTTCAAGAGGCACCTTGTAATGGCCATACCACGAACCATAGGGACCATCAGGTGGTTGGTTAAAATACTTTCCAGTGAGGTTTTCACCTGTAAGCAAAGCATGCCACGGCCACATGATACTTGCAGCACTACAGAGGACACCAGGAGCATTTTCTGAACTTGCTAGCAATATATTGTAGTTGTTCAATCTTAACCTGTGCAAAACGGTAGCAAAATCCCTGTCACCAGAAATTAAGAAAAGATGTGCTGGTGGGGGATTTTGAGAAACCCAATACATAAGATCTACAAGAAGAGACCTATCAGCACTGTTCTTTCCACCTGCACTAACAAAAACATTTGCAATATAATATGGTTAGGATACAAGAAAAAAGTTGTATAATTGAATGTATGTCTGTTCGCACAGACATACATGGGAATGACATGTTAAACACATTTCAAGTTGAAATTTTGTTTTGAACAGAAAAACCAGTAGTGAACTTTACTTCAGAAGGTACATTAAGCTTTTACCACCTGTATGGCATCTTGCATAAAATGATGACATACATAAAACCATTGGTGAAAAACTTATATGTTCTGCATAAAATTGTCATCAGATATGAAAGGAAAAGTACTCATGACCTGTATTCAATATCTGGAATTTTATTCAAACTATTAGTAGATAAAACACCTTCTTTACTAAGAACAACAGCATGAGATAAATTTTCTTCCTTACTTCGATTGCAAGTCACATATCTTAAAATGTTCTCTCCAATAAACAAGCAATAACTAACTTTGAATACAAACGAGCCCAAAGATAAAAGCAAAAAATTAAATAATCCGTCATGTACGAGGATCCTAGATTTATATTCAGCATATTATAGTATAGCCTACTGTCCAAAAGAGTTGCATGCGGATCAAAGGCAATAGTTGGCAATTCAAATAGCAACACTTAAAAGAGGTCATATACCTCAGACCCTTAACCAAATTCATGTATAATAGAATACTAGTATTAGTTGACAATCTCAAAATTAACAATATGTTTGACACTTGACTATTGGAATGTTTATAGCCAACTAAAAATGGATGAAGTTTACAATGATCAGAGACAGTCAACCTCCAGATCTGCAATGGTTGAATATAGCTATTCTTCATACCGACAAGTACAAATACCCAAGTCCCCATTTGCGGACTTGAGAGAGAACCCTTGAGAAAACAAGCCTTGAACACTTCATTCATACAAAGGGGAGATTAAATTTGAACATCTATTAACTTTATTACATATTGTGATGTGAGCATCAAAGGAAAAAGAAAATTATTGCTCCAATTGTGCAGCAATGCCAGGTCAATGCTACATTTATGCATTGTTAGACTGATAGCCATATCTAGATCTTTTCTTTTTTCCTTTAATGTTCTTTTGAATTCATAAATTTAGGGACTCGTAGTCATTTTGGTTTCCCAATTAAGTCCTATTTTATGTACTATGTTTGTATACATGCCCACCTGTTAAATAAAAGTGATAAAACTACATAGTGTTAGAAACCCCTCCTCACTCTCTGCTTGAATTATCACAAGATGATAACGAGGGCCACACTGGGCCAAGAATGATTTTCTGTAGCTGTTCTCTTAGGGCCTTGGCCTCCCTGTAACCAGAAAATAAAAAGATCCAATCATAGAGCACTAGAGGCTACTATTACATACATCTTATGCTATTGAATCTATATGTACTGGTTTGTTTCCTCACTGGAGGTACAAATTTCTTTCATCCAAGTTATAGCAACCAAAATAAGTCAAAGTGGATTATCTCATTTTTGTTAGCCAACAATAGACTCTAAACGCTTAAGCTGTTAGGGACTAGGCAACCAATGCGCAACTACAGGTTTTGAAGATAAGACCTCAGCCTTCAACTCGCAAACTAACAAAGTGCAGCCCCATTGGACACGTGGAGAGGCAGACAAAAGCAGACAGAGAAAATCATATAGATTTAGCCTCAGACTGCACCTTGCAAACTAACGAAGTGCGACCAACCCGCAAAAAATTACACCTTTAACTGCTTAACTGCGTTCTCCTTTAGTGCTATGATTGGTCACTCTGTGCAGCCATAACATGCTTCTTTTTTTTGTCATAACACTGTATATAACCTTATCATCCTTGAAAGACCAGATACACAACTGCAGTCACCCAGTTACTTTATATACAATTTTCTCACGCATTCTCCCACTTAATCAACCCCTATCACACCACTTGCACTCACACGATACAATTACAGATGTACACGCATGAGTATAGGCTACTTTATTTCAGCATTGCACCACATAATTCCCAACTTCAATTCATTTGCAGTAACTTTTAAGTTGTAATTAAATAATTCACAAAAGGCAAAATGAGACTAACCGTGAGGAACGTGAGTAAGATTGACCCCAGTAGACGACAAGGCCTCCTGGTTGAACCTTGATAGCTGCAACATGTCCCCGAAAGCCGTGATCTGAATGGGGCCCTTTATCCCACTGGTCCTGATAACCGTGGTGATCGCATGTGATACCTTGAACACGTTGACGCCCGCCGGCAAATGGCAGTTCTCAAAGTCCCACCAAACCGAAATCCTCACGTTCCGAACCTCCTCATCGTGGCGTCTGAAAGAAGAGTGACTGTGAAAATGGTGACCTGACGAAGAGGTTGAAAAGTGGGAAATCTGAAGAAAAGGAGGAGGAGATAGCGAGGAGGAAGAGAAGCGGTAGAGGGTTCTTGGAGGGATGGGTCTCATGGTGGGTGGTATGAGAATTAGGGTTAAGATTAGGCGAAAGGGTTTTGGGGTGGAAATGGCTGAAATGAGAAATGGGTTCTATCATTTCATGGTGATTATTTGGATTCGGGAGTTGGGAAGAAAAAATTTGAAGGTTCACTGAGAGTCTGAGAGTGAGGGTTTTAGGGTGGAAGAGGAAGGCGATCTAAAACCTATTGGCACGTGCTATGCACATGGTTGGGCTCTAAAAAGATTGCGTGTCACGGCCCCCATGTTCATATATTGTTCTGAGTTTGAACACAACAAAAGCTCGGCCATATGTTTTTTGTGTTGAGGCCCATCGTAATATTAATTTTGGGCGGTGCCAAAAGGCCCAAACAACAACTTCCTCCCATACCCATCCGCTAAGGCATTTCTTACATTATAACCCGTCCACGTGTTACTAGAATACAGTCACGTAGTATAATTCATACAAATGTTATAATATGGATAGAAGATAGAGTTATAATTTTTCACTTTTAGGATATAATATCAATAAATATCAACTTATATTATAAAACGTAAATGAGTTATACCACATGTCAATACTATAGTGCCATAATTACTCACATGATTGAGTTGAGATTAACAAGCCCAATTACATCTCATAACCGACTTCCAATTAAGCAAGCAAGAATCTCAAAGCTCCGAAAGGATGGAAACTCATATTATGAT